AACACTTTCCTATTTTTCGATTTTACGTCAACATCGTATTATCAGTTGCGGTTTCACTCCACAATTATAATTTGTTTCAAGGTGCGACTCTTTTATTTAATGGAACACAAGAAAATACAATCTCTTGGGATGTGAGTGTACTATTCGATTTAAAACTATACAAAACACTCTTTGTTATTTGAATCTTGGGCGTTCGACTTATTTCTAGTCACTGTGTGTGTAAAAATAGCTCTGCTTTATAAGATTGTAGCTGCTGACACTATGAGTGTTTAATTGTATTATTACACCTCAAGCGTGTAACATTAAAATGAAATTTTGATAAAACCGCTGCCATTTTCATCTTTTAGTAAGGCTATCATTTTACTTTTAATGGAAGAAACACACAAGCATTAATGCTCGAAGGGTCATTTGCTATGTAATAACGCCGCAGGCAGAAGTACGAGGTTCAATTTAAATTTGAAAAGTAATAAATAAGTGCCAAATTTGTCGTTCCAAATCAAAGTGCGGTGCGGCGGTGATCGAATTTCGTGTACTAGTACTACATTATGTAATTTACACGCGTTATATAGTGGGACCCACACCGAATACCACGAGGCACGACGACTGTGGCGTTGTAACTTTCGGTCTCGGACCAATAATAAAGGTACGATATCTCAGCAATTAAAGCGATCGCGAGAGGCGCCATTTGTGATGAAAAACAGTTATAATAACTGGCATAAGGCGTCCGTTATCGCGCCCTCTTTCGACGAGCTCTGCTGTGACGCAAATGGGCATGGAACCATTCACACCATTATTATTGTTTAAATTATAAGTGTCGAACGACTGAACAAAAAAAAAATATTTTTATATCTGAACGCAAGTACCTCACCAATCAACGTTATATGACGTCACAGACACGCTTTGTTGCTAGAGGGCGCGACTTTAAGTGTATTAGGTATATCAGGTGATACGGCGCCGCGGAGCATAGAAAGAGAGCATTGTCTACTCTTAATCGAATCAATATATAACGGCCTCACAAAAGCTGACGATACGGCTGGGCACGTGACTCGCGGTAAAAGGTTTCATATTGATTTCGCAGCTGATGGTAAAAAGACGGTGAAATTGTGAAATACCAAATGGTGTCTCACTAGTGTCAGCTAAATTATTTGATCGATTCTAGAAGCGACTTGCCACTTATATTAATTATCGGTCCCACGCTCGTCCGGATGACGCTGGGCAGGCGGCGGCAAGTAGTGTGGAAAGAAAGTGCTTCCCAAGAACGTGCTCAGCTGGAATTACTTTTATATTAGTAAACTAATGGAAAAAAATGCTCGAGAAAATCAAAATTAATAAACAGTAAATCAGTAATAATCAGAAAATCAAAATTAATAAAATCAGTAAACAAGGAAACAAATTGAGAAGAGCGAGGCATTCCAACGATCACAAGTACATTAAAACGATCGCGTAAATGCCCACAGAAATCTACTTTCAGTGTGTATAGTGAATATATTTTTATTCAGATATAGTTCATCTAAACGATACCCAGGTTGATTTGTCGCCTGCCATTATGCGGCTAGACGTGTTGAGAGGCGACTCTTACAAAACTCGTCGTTTAACGACAGTCGGTCGAAAGCGCGATAAAACACAATATGCGTCATCGTCGTTGAATCATTCAGTGACGTTAAAACGGAACATTCTGCTAGACATGTCAAGTATTACTCCCCCAAGGGAAAACGAGTACTTTCCCGAGTTGGACTTATGAGTATCGCCATTCTGTTGTGAAATCAGGGGAGTACCTCGTTTGTTAACATACAATAGCTTCACTGTAATTAATTATTGTAAGCAAAGTATGTAGAGATTGAGAAGAATTCTAAATTTAAAAGTTTGCTTCAGTCGCTTATCGCATGATTATTCATTTTTGTGATACGGTTGTTGATACCTAACCGCAATAGTCCGTTGCTTCGTTTTGTTCAATCAGACTTAGTGAAAATACTATGGCCATCTCACGCATGCGCATGTGACGACTCTCCCGCTTTAATGCTGTACTCCAGCATTTTTCGACTTTCCGGCATTTTAAAAATCCTCCAAAAAATACAAGAATCGAATTAAATACGTATTTGAATATTATTTTATTGTGCCCATTTCCACCATAATGCAGATCTATTGCCAGCAAATGCGATATATGTTCTATGTAAACAAAATCCGAATGCTGTTAAATCGAGTGTTAATCCAGTCACGACTAACTTGATGTGACGAATGACAAAGTGATTGTAAAACCGTACTTGTATGCCAAAAATAGATTTCCTATCAATTTGCTTAGCATCCAGTTTCTCTTCTGCAATGCTGTCAAACACTTTCGTCACGAAACCAGGACGATATCGTCTCTTTACTGTAATCTCTGAAAGTACTAGCTTTAATCCAAGTGGCATTGTCTCCATGGTAACGCACTATGTTTATTCGCTGCTCCCTTCGTCGTCTTTCACAACTCGCCGCTTTCGCTACAAAGGTTATAATTACCGAACAGCCTATCGCGTGTCAATTAAAGCATTCTCCACATCAGCTGTGTAAACGTGCCCATCCACCGATCAAACACCGTTCACACCCACGGACATACGCTCCCCATCATTATCTCTGAAATGAAACACAGCAGCGAATATAAGAAGAAGAATGGTGCCACAATGTCTGCATCTGTCTGTATGTTGCTGCGAGTGATGGTCTAGTTCGGCCTACTGAAGAGTTTTCTCAGCTTCGTTTACGCAAATATCGTATCGTAAAAAACAAATAAAGAACTCATGTCTCGAACATTAGAACTTCGGTGTGTTACTAGATTGCTTGTTTGTAGATTGATATTATAGTATACACGTGTATGGTGGAGATAAACTATTTTGTTCTTGTGTATATATACTTGTATATTTAATTTTTGGCGATATACATTTAAAATTTTAAAAAAGCCTCAGGCTTGTACTTTTGTAACTGGAAATATTAACAACAATCACGTGACTTAGATATTTATTTTAATGACGGTGAACAGCGGGTCCAAACAATAGACCACTTTCCCGGAAGTAGCAAAACTGGGTTGCAAAAATACTCCTGCCTTGTCATGGCGGAAAATACAAACATGTCAGTTTGCTGATAGTCGATAGAAAAGAATTTTATTGCTGTTACGTTAATTGGTACACCCAGAAGCACAATATCACGCGTGCAAGTTAACGTTACACCCCAAAAAGGCATGCGCGCGCATGCGAAAAGCCGTATCTTCTATTTTCGGGAAAGTCGTCTATAGTATAGTGATAATCGTTGTGTCGTCACAGGAAGCGCTGTCCCAGCACAGACCTGTGTCATATGACGCCTTAATAGCCGATTTTGGCTAAAATAGCGCTCCGCCGGCTCTTAACGTGTTTATACACGGAACTTGATATTGCTTTTCACAGTTTAAGTTGCTTAATATTTTTAGTGAAATATTGTTTAGTGAGTGAAATAGTAATGTCATAAATAATTCAATTTTCGAAACAACAGAAACTAACACATAATAACGATAATTTGTATTTGAAGTTCTAAAGTACTTGCGTAATTTCCGGTTTTAACTAGTTCGAAAATATAACTTGAACTCGATAAAATCACGCATATAACGTCTTCTGAATCAGACACTAGAAGCGTAAACTTGTTGCAAATATGCGGAATTTAGGCCCAGTTTGTTTTTACAAGTTTTCTAAGTTTCATTTATCATTATTTAGTAAACAGGCCCATGAAACGATTTATTAAATCTGCAAAATACGTGGCAATCGACGAGAACTTTCGAAACGTTCGAAGTTTCGAACAAAGTCCCGGCACACCTTGCGCGATGTGCGTCAGATCGGTGTAGAAGACGCCGATCTGCAGCGTCAATGTATTGGCTGGTTCCCGCCTCAAGTGTAATGGTGTACCAAGCCACAAGAGGCCGGTAACTAGTAACGAATCCGGCATTCCGATTGGTCCATCACTTTTTCGTTGCTTGTTCTATTTCCCTTGGTTACCTGGCGTCATCGCTTGCGCTCGTGGCCGTTCAGAGGTTTCCTTTTACTTTCGAAAGTTGGGCGAATAAAAAACTTGTTATAAATTTGCACAGAAACAGTGAGGAATTTCAGAAAAATCTCAAATATGTAAATCTAAGCAGGCAGTATGTATGAGCATGGCTTTATTGTAGTGTTACAGACACGTTTACGTAGAACGAAACTTGAAATGTTTTCAAATTACGTCACTCAGTCACGTTCCTTCCGGCCGGAAAACCGGTCCAAATGGAACAATATGGCGATTACTAGTTACCTGCGTCCTACTGGCCATTCGCCGGGAACCAGCGAACGTCAATGTAGTGATGATTTATTTGCTCAAGCGCGTCGTCGCTAGAGGGCGCAGTCGGCTATCATTGTTCGTTGCGCAATCGAACGAAACTATCCCTGGGCTATCCGTCACATAATGACATCAAATGTTACGGGAAAGTATTTATTTGTAAGCAACCAATTACCAGGGAACACGAGTTTTAGCTTTGAGAAACCAGAGGGCTGTCCAAGTTGGCATTAGCGTTGCTATAACAATCGGGGTATCTGATACTATCCTCGGGGGCGGAGCAACGTCACAGACGTTCCACGTTGCTACGACGCGCACCACTGTACATGCATTTCTATGGGCTCTGTGCGCGCTGCTGTGGAACGCCGGTAGAGCCGGTGAAAATTCGAGAAAACAACACAAACTCAACTTTGAAGTAATCCCGAACAACCAAATTTATATAGTATGTTACACACGTAAGACTAATCTTGTTACACTGTTCAGAGGAGTCTCAACAATCATCCCAAAATACCGTTTTCTGCGAGTTTTGGGCCTTTGTTTTCACCTCCTCCGGTTGCCAGGCGGTGAAAATGCCCGGATGTCCACCCCCGAGGATTCCAAGAACCATCACTGAGCTCAATCTTTTATTCATATCAAGGTTTTTATCGGCATCATCTACTTAGCGCCCCATGTTAATATATCTCTGTCTTAATTTTCAGGTAACCATGGATACAAAAAGCCCAACAAATCTCAGCTTAAAGCTTATCATATTTATAGTAGTAATAACAATGTTAATGTCGACGTGTTACTCAATGTCTAGAAACTGGCATTGTGGACGACCTGTTGAGACCATGCACGAGGTATGTCAGGGATGCTACGCCGGACATGTAAGGCCGAGAAATACAAGGAGTGTAGACGGTGTTCAAGGTAAGTAGAGGCCATAGTAATCAACTTATTTGCATATTTCGCACATTGCTGAGTGTGAACAGGGTGAGCATTTTGCCATCTCTCGCAAGTCATCCCCAAATTTGGCACACTGGGGATCCATTCAAGCAATGTGGGGGAAATAAACATCAAATTTTCAATATTACTTATTAAGAGAAAAATATTTATTTAAATATTATTGAAATTACAAAATCTTCCATAATTGATATGCATATTGCAATCGACTTGCACACTCTTTAACAAATGGACGCCAGTTGTATTAGTTGTAATAATACGTTTCAAGCTGAACTTTTCAAACTTGTTTTCAGCTAATATGAAAATATATAGATTTTTGAACGGCAATAAGACTCAGTTAAAAAAATCCACGCCTCCCCAGAAGATTGATAGTTCGCTGAGGGTGTTAATTCAATAACGTACTCGTTATCTTAGATCGGGTGTGATAACCAGCCTGAGAGTGTTGTATAAATCGTATCCTATAGCAACATAGCGCTTCAGTGACGTGTGTGAGTGAACAAAAATTGCGTTTAAATCGTGGATATTGTAGTTATGATTGGTTGTCGTCCTTTAAGAATAAAGATCCTTTTTTTTTTTTTTTTTTTTTGGAGAAATTTTACTAAATTCTAAATGACGAACGCCTACACGACCAAACGTAGTTTTCTGTTTGAACGTCATTACTTATATTCATATACGTCATTTTGACGTAACCGATTGCGAGGTGGCGAATATGCGATTTCTTTAATTGTCGATATTTCCCATGGGACATGGCACGGTCGTGAATCCACCACTGTGAGTTCTCCGATAAGTGTGCAGCGCCCTCGCTCTCTTGTGAACCGCACTTTAAATGAATGTAGCTGGTTGGTTACTTAGACCGAAGGGAATACTTATACATTCATTTTTATATTGACCTTTATATAACACAATAAATTACGTGAGAAGTGAAGAGCACGAACACCTGAAGTATTTAATAGCTTGAAAAAATAACAATGTTATGCTGTAAGATGACATCATTAGTCGATACTGCTCGTGTGAGCGAAAACTTTCTATACTAGCTAATGGTCGGGCCCAATTTGTAGTTCTGAAACACAGGGAGTGGACCTTGAAATAATTTTAGAAAATATTGAGTATTAATATTTATGGCAGAATTGATTAATTGGGAATATTTGATATATTGATAATCTTAAATTTAACAAAAATGCAATTAGATCGCCGAATGACGAAGAGAATAAAATACACGTAACCATAACTAAGTTTTCGTGGCGGAATCCATTAGTGTTGAAACGTGATCTGTGAATATCATTCTGTTTTATAAATAAGTTGTCTATTTCTTCTTTTGTCCCAGCATTCATCAGCAGACGAGATGCCAATATGTTTACCAAGGGGATGTCACCGGATGTAAAACGCGCCATTGATGGCGGCCTCATTGAAGAATGCTGCTACTCGCAGTGCAGTTTAACTCATATGATTACGTACTGTTGTGCTGAAGTGCAAAATGAGTTCCAAGTGTTTATAAATATTCTGGGTAATACGGATGAAAGCAGTGAAAATGATGGCGATGATGGGGAGGAGAGCAGTAGTGTACATGAAGATTAGAAAGACAAACAAAACGAAAACTCATGTTTCTGTGTTCAATATTTCGCGCAATCGCTTTGCCACATATCACCCAAGGGAACAAGTGACTGAAATAGAAAGAGAATCGACACTGGAATCTTCGCCAACTTGAGCTTAATGAATTCAGTCGCCCAGGAATGGTCTCAGGACATTACATCACTGATGGCTTCTTCAAATCACGTGACAATATATGGTCTGAGATCATCCGAATTTTGAAAGATATTATCGACCCTGTGTAGTGTACACCTACTTGAATATCACTGCCATTTCAACAACTACTTCTCGCGAGATTCGACCTTATTTATTGCTGAATTTAAAAGGAAAAAAAATAAACAAAACTTATTTTTTGTGTTTTATGGAATTATTTTTCCATTTACCTACAAATCTGAAATAAATAGCTTTCTTCATGGATTGAATTCAATTCTCATCTTAGACGAGACTTGAGTCACGTAACAGTACAAATGGAGTAACACTTGGATATGACGACATCGGAAGCTGCTGTGTAATGTCATAGTTTTTGTAGCTTTCTTGTCTGATTTCGTTCAGTATTTTCCAAAATAAAATTTGATTCGCCAGAGGCAACAACGTGTAATAATCGGTGATAGAAACAGCAGTAATACAATTATATATATTTTCAAAACATAAGTTTCCCTACCCAGACAAATGACTGTAAACTCCAGTTTCCGGTTGTCGAGATATCTACATTTAAAAGTCTGATTACATAATCATGTATATGACTCGATTGTGTACGTTTCATATTAAAAGAAAACGGCTCTAACGAAAATATATGTCCATTAATCGGGTAGACATGCGTAAAATTTAAAATGGTGGAAGACAACAGACATAAATATATACCCCTTGTCATAGGGGGACTTGTGCGTCAACAGTTGAATCATAGCATATATGTATATAAGGCAGGATTTGATACGTCAACAAAGAAGCGGCTTTCTGATTGGTCTGAGTGTTAGGTGTTAGGGTTGGGTAGCCAATCATGTACAATCTTGTGATTAGCTTTGCCATATACTCCATCCACGTTAGATGATTCCTGAATACTGAGTTGAGGGCACTAATCGTGGAATGTTAAAATTGATGGAGTGCAAAGTTGAGAGCGCTTATACTTTACGCCATAAAAGGTGATTTTCCTTTAACTGTGAGATTTCGCGCATTGCGTGAATAGTGAGGACGGAATGTCTGCTTTTTTCAAAGCTCAATGTCTAAAGGCCGATCCTTGAGAGGAGAATATTGTGTTGAGATTTCCTTACTTCATCAAAATTGACCATAATCAAATGAGTATAGCAAATTATGAAAAAAAAAAAAGCATGAAAAAAAATATTTTTGAGTTTGTCGACTTACCGCATTGATTTAACGTCACTACGACGATATGGCCTTTGTTTTCCCGGTATTACGTTCCATTTCACGCATTATCTCGCACTGAACGGAAAACGGCCTTTTAATGGAATAAAGCATGGGGTTGTAAGACATGACAAGGTGGTCATCACTAGGTGGTGCTAGTTTCATAAAAGTTATCAAACGTTCAGCCAAGCCAAGTATTTTCGTTTTGAATTCTGTCATCGAAGACACAGGAATATAAAATGAAAGCATGCTGTTTTGAATAATACAACACCAACATACCAACAAGGCTATGTTATCAGCCAGCTAATAGGAAAGAGCGCCACCTACGTGCACACTAACCTGTCGATGTTCTACATGCCTTTTTTGCTATCAGATACTTTTGCTTTTAGATTTCATAATCGTTAAATTCACATCAGTAAAACAGAATAGAAAGCTATCAATATTGTGAGATTACTATTTTAGTGCCAGTATATTGAATCTATTCAAATATTTGCACTGTACCACATATAGCAGATGATAGAGGGCGCTATGTTGACTCAGAGATAAAAAAACGGGTTAATATCCAATACAGATTGCAATCTCGAGATCTTGTGATTCAATACTCGCTCCCTCTTTAGTGAAAATAATTGTCCGGTTCGCCATATGCGGATTTACCAGCTAATCGAATGCTATTATGTGAAAGTTTCAATAAAAATGAGAACATTTTTAAAACACTGATGTAGTGTTATTGTGCACTGTTCAATTAACTTCACATACTCAACACCTTCCACGTGTTTGTTTACCAGTATTCTTAAAATTATTTAAATATGTTGTCCGAGGCGTGGCGGCGAGGGTTCGGGGGTCGTGTCAGTACTGTAGTTGTAGCCAAGGATGCTGGATCTAGTACTGGTATACCCATACCAACTAACGACGCATCTATTGAGAATGGAAGCCCACAATTGCCAGAGTGGTCAGCTATTTTGCGTTTGTTTTTATTATGGAAGCAAGGCCACCCAAACAATGACTGTAAAAAATTGCAAAATATTCTCTTATAAGTGTTTTTGTCATTCGTCGTTTAACTTTAAAAGTCAGCTACATAGTACTTAATCAATTATTGTTGAATTTTATGGCTGTGAATGTTTGTGTATAATAAACATCTAAAGATCTCGTATTGAGATCACGTGACCATGTAATAATTGCCGGTATTTTCACGACAAATTGGGCAACTCTACCTTCACAGTTCGGAACCGTACAACGCCAGAGTGGCTTGCCTCTGCTAAGATTAATCGCAATCTTTGTTTTTTATCCCGGAATTTTAGTGACAAACCAAAATGTCGTTTTGTATATGCTCACTACACGCATATTTTTTTTGGCAAAACACCATTAAAGCGGGAGAGTCGTTACTTACGCATGCGTCAGGTGGCCATAGCGTGTCATCGTTTACAAGCAAGCGTCTACCCATGAGCCTTTGCGTTCTTAGAGTGTGTTGTTGTCTTAGCTTGGGACTCAATTCCTGCGCATGCGAAGGTGACGACCCCCCCCCCCTGCTTCAAATATTTAAATTTAAGTAGACGCTGATCGATATTTACAAATCACCATAAATAAGTACACAAATAGATCGACATATTAAAAAATTATCATGATACAGCTTTAAAAAGCACCAACAACTTCAAGTTTCGAAAATCAATGCACTGACGCTCTCTGGATGCCGATTCTTTGTTTGTGTATCGGTGTCACAAAAAGTATCATTTATTCTTCGATGTTGTTAACAATGCATATAATATATAAATGTTGTGTCACAGTAAATACCCGCACGGGATATATTAACCTAATTGTATTTTTCTACGGACGGAATTGTAAATAGTTCACTGCTCTCGCGTGCATTCGTGCGAACAATATGTAAGAAGGGCCTATTACTTTCCTGGAAATTGATGACCACACTGCAAAATAACTTCTATATCCTGTAAACCATCTGGGCGAGGCCATGACGTTCTGTCATGCTATTTGTAAAGTCGTTTTTGTCCTTTTCAACTACCTTCCAACAGTGACTGTTGGTTGTAAAGTTGGATGCCAAAACTTAATAAAAAAATGCACCAGCTATATTCATCATACTAACTACGAGACGAATATTCAGAAAAGTAGGAAAATTACAACCAGACATGTACCTCACCATTAGAAAATAAAAACGCCCTCTTGCGTCCAGTACCTCTCTCCTCAATTGTTGGTTGAGTAAGAAAAGCACGTCAATGAGTTCAAATATTAAGAAAACGTTGAGCATGGGCATTCAACAAGAAAAAATGGGGAAGCAAACACACATGAAACGCATCCCGTTTATAACTAAGTTTTCAACTAGTGTTTTGTTGATGATTTCAACACAATCACTCACCAAAACCACAACAATCAAGTGTTTGTGTACACATGAAACGTGTTTACAAACAAGCGTCTACCCATGAGCCTTTGTGTGTTTAGCGTGTGTTGTTGTCGTCGCTTGGGACTCAATTCCCGCACGTGCGCAGGTGACGACCCTCCCGCTTTAACATCTCCGGACATTGAAATCGCTTTTGTCTCCCTTGATTTATTTTGTCATAGGTGTTTATTGCAAGCACGTGTGTGTAAACCAGTCTCCCAAACCTAATACCGCGTGTTTGAAGGGAACTGAAGATTGTGGCCGGATTTATATTCCTGAATATAAAGTCAGCTCCGGGAATCGATGGGTGGAGGGGGGGGGGCGACGTTTATTTACTTCAAGTTCCGGTCAGCAGTTTTATGCAGTTTTAGACATTTATTTTACCATACCAGTTTCACTTTTGTCGCTAGCATGTTGATCCTGTGTTTGTTTTCTAAAATATTTCCTAGGGGACAATACACTATAAGTAGTTGTTTTCAATTTTTAAAACGACTGGTTATATAAGCAACGCGTTTAATGTAACCAACAGGCTCAGTAACGTAGCAACCATGGAATACGCCTCGGGAACTCGAAACTTGTTCATTGTGTTCAGAAATATCAATATGCAGAGACACGTATCTGCTAGAAATGAAATGAATTTGTGCATATCATAAATATATCTGTAGGCAAGAATTTTGCCTTATAATAAAACCTCAGAGAACTATACATTAAAATATTAAACTGAAAGTAGGCGATTAATGTTTTACGTCAAAATACTTTTCATCACAATGAATACAAGGTGTCCGATATTTTGTAGGTTTAATATATCACGGGTGATGCACGTGGAGCAGGGTGTGTAAAAACATTTGTCTTTAATTACCAACTGCATTGATGTAGCCTTTATTTTGTATTTTTTATTTAAAAGTATTTATTCACACTATTACTAATACATTACGTGCTCTCAACTGCAAAAACATTCTATTTAGAAATCACACAGCGATATACTACCTTATACTACATTATCGCCTTTTTTTAGTTAGCTTTGTTAATGAAATAGTGATATTGCATTCAAACATACTGTGATTATTTGTCGTCATATGAAGATGTTAAAATTCGGTTAGTTTGCAGCACTCTGCTGAATATTCATGTAAGTGTTGCGCGGTTGCATTGTTTGGTAGTGTGTTGTCCATTTTTAACTTAAAGTGTGAGGGGGGGTCG